ATTCGTCACCCCTCTTAATCCACCGGGAAGCCTTCTCAGCGGCTTCCTGGATGTTCTTGGTGGCTCGTTGTCTCTGCTGCCCATAGATCCCTAAGAGTCCCAGGACCCGGTGTAGAGATCGCCCTGCAAAGCCCCTGCAGCCTACTTCAACAGGCTCACAGCGGGCCTTCCATCCCTGCCTCCGACACTCTGCTACCAGAGAAGCATATTTGGCTCTCCTTCTCTCTTGTGCCTCTTCCATTCTGTCTTCCCAGGGCACAGTTAACTCCAGCAGCACCACTTGCCTGGTTGTCCCAGACACCAGGACCATGTCTGGCCTGAGTGTGGTCGGTGTAATCGTGTCCGGGAACTTCAACTGTCTTTCAAGGTCGACTAGGAACTGCCAGTGTCTTGCTGTTGAGAGAAGCCCTCCCTGGGCCTTTGGATGGGGTTCAGGCTTCTGCCCGGCACAAACAAAAGAGATGGTTCGCTTTGTGGGGGCTGATGGCAGTACAGATGGTATCTGCTCCTGCCCGCAGGACCTGGTCATGGCACCAACGGTACCGCCCCTCTCCCAAGGCCTTAGGACAGCAGCTCAAAATGTGCTCCATAGTTCCCCTCTTCTGGCAGAGTTGACAGGCAGGTGAGTCCACCAGGCCCCAGGTGAACAGGTTGCTTGGGAGGACGTCATATACTGGCTGGACCAAGAACTTGAATCGGAGAGGCTCCGATCTCCACAGTTCTGTTCACGTGATTTTCCTGCCAGTTGTGTGCTCCCACTCCCGGGCCCCCTGCTTGCCCATGCCCACCATCCTGCTGAGGCGAATTTCCTCCTCTTCTGCCCGCACCTCCTCCTGGATCAGCCTTCACCTCACCTTTCCCCTGGCATTGCTGTAGGAAGGTGTTGGGGTGCTCCCATGAATATGTTCTATTTTGTACATGTATTTTTTTATATAACATTGGGCCTCATTCACTAATATCTGCGCAGAAATGTTCTTACTCTCCGCAAAAAATAAGTACTTGCGCAAAATCACCATTCGATTCATGACACGTGTGTACCGGCCAATTTTGTTCTCACCATTGTGCGTATGTTAGTAAATCAGAACCATTCTAAATTGACAGGCGCGTGTCCACGATCTGCAATCAGCATACTACCACACCCCCATTTCTCCATATAAAGAAGCCGCTTGCCTAGAGTTGATTCATGAATGAAGGAAGCGGTTACGCGAGGAGAGAAGTAGTAAATTTCACAGTTTGTTAGAAGTGATGGCGCCGGGTCTTACAGGAATGCCATGGGTCATTGTACGATTGTGGAGGACACAGCATGCCAAGATGATCTTGCACACCTTCTCAGGGGTATAAAGTAGTTTGCCACCGGCCGTATCTGATCCAAACACATCCAACGGCCCTTAAGCACGCCAAAAGTGCGCTCTACGGCGCGTGTGTGGGCATGTATGTTATTATAGCACACCTCTTGAGGGGTTTCAGGGTTTGCGTATGGTGTCATCAGCCATGTTTTAAGGCCATATGCCCGGTCACCCAAACAATATAACATTTTAACATTAACGGAATAGAGACTTACTGAAAATACTAACTTAAAACAATTGAAATAAAAGACTAGAACAAAAGATGCTCACCAACAAGCCATCCACTTCTCACAGCCCCTGCCTCCAAACGCATTCCCACTGTACTGTTTTGCAAAATAAATGAGTCATGGGTGCCTCCTGGCCAGCGGGCCACAGCCTTAAGGATATGACAGTCGGCATTACAGATCATCTGCGCGCTGATGGAGTGATAGTTTTTCTGTTCATGTTATTGTTAATATTTTAATTGTCACAATGATGAGGGTGAACATGTGTCAATTTCATGGTAATTTAATCCATTTGGCCAATATATTAGTAAATTAATTATTTTATAAAATGTTAATTAAATCTCTTTTTCATGAATGTGGTTTTATAGACTCTGCATGTACTTAAAAAGTATGTTTGCATTTTCTAAGTCAGTTCGGCCTTCCTCATTTGTGCGTACGCATGGTCTGAGGCAGTTCTAAATTTGTTCGCAGAGTAAGAACAAATTCGGGTAAGAAAATATTGATGAATCCCGGATTTGTGCGTCAAATGATCATACGCACAGTTTAAGCACAGATTTGTGCGTACGCACTGTTTGTGAATGAGGCCCAATGTCTCTTAGCAGAGAAATTATTCTCTGTTTCCTGCCCAGGGACTACGGAGGAAAATTAGCTTATAGCTGAGTAGCTGTGCACGGTCCCTGTTCAGACTGTACATTTCCTGTGAAAACAGAAGCTTATTTAAAAAGAGATGATGCATATAATAAGCATGAACTGACACGTCGTCCCTGAGCGTTCAAAACTGATGCAGGAGGAAAAGTGACACGTCATATTTTGTTGTGCAGGGCCACAGCAGCAATGCAGCAGCATTTGATAATTCAGGATGAGAACATGTTGCCGTCTATGCTACAAAAAAGGGTTTGAAACTGTTTCACCATGAATGCATTGTGACTTTCTGCATGCCGGTGTCACACTGCATAAAGGCTGGTGTCTGTATTGTTGTTGTCTCAATCCACCACTGCCTCAACTCTCTGTATCCTCACTGTTCTCCATCCATGAAAAACACTTCCACAGGGCCACATGCCTCCACACTCACATATTAGATCACATTCAGCAGAGCATGTAGCAGAGCAGCAGAGCCTCCGTCCTCCAAATATCAGATACACAAGCTAAACACCGCCATGAGCTGTCCCTCTCATCAGCACCCCAAGGATCATCTCATCACTGGCTATTACATTGGGTTTCCATAGCGACGGAGCACTGGACATCAGCATCCCCGCGGGCCAGAGAGTCGTTCACACCCACACAGCCGGTCAGCAGGACACACAAATCACCCAACACACACACTCAAAGGTCAACATCCGTCCATTCATCCGTCTGTCTGTCCGTGTGTCAGTTCATTAGTGCTCACTAAGAGCTGCAGTCCAATTAAACACAACTTATATATCTGATATTAGCCCATAAGCTGCAAAAAAATTCCATTTCATGAGTTGCTTTTTGTCCATTGTTAATTTGGAAAAGTCTTGTTTTCTTATTATCTTATTTTCCTTGTTCTAAGACAGAGTTTTGTCTCAGTACCTTGGAACACGATTAAATAAAATCAGACTGTGACACTGAAGTCTAGAAAAATCCTTACAAAAGTTTATTTTCAAAACAAAAGGTTAAAGTTTTTTAACACTTTTCCAACTAAATAACTTGTCGAGGTGGAGTTTTTTTGCAGTGTAGACACACAGACAGAAACAGTGCAGCATCAACACTACATGTTATGAATACTGTAGCTATATCTGCGGTTGCCATCTGGAGATCAAGGTCATTTTTATTTGTTCCTTCATTAAGTTATACAATGATGACCGCAGCTCCTGCTTTGTGTTTGTCTTTCCATCCTGATGTGATTCTGTCTTACTGTCCCGAAGAGTTCAAAGAATAAGTCCAGGATTTTTCTTATAGTCAACCAACTGGATTAAAAGACTGAGACCAACAGTAAATTGATGATACTAATAAAATATTGTCTTTTTATCCAAAGACTTTTGTCAAATATTGATTAATTAACTTAATTTCACCAGTAAGTAACCAGCTGTTTCAGGTAATTACCGAGTTTTAAAAAATGAAACTGTGTAAAGATTTACATCTTTAAAAGGAACCAATGGGCTTCGAGAGCTTCACACAGAAAGTCAAAGTACTGAGAGACGCACTAACATGTTGCAGGTTTGTCTTGATTAATGCTTGTTTCATCCTTTAATACTTGCAGCTCGGACGCCTCTTATCCAAAATATATCACAGTCTATCACGTCCTTACAGGAGTATTATACTATAGATGAGGTGACTATAAATTCTATATTGAGTCAGGGCCAGAGCTACCATTAAGAAAACTGTAAAAGTAATCAAATTAAAATATATTTAATTTGGCAACTTGTAGGCCAATAAATAAATTAATCAGTATTTCTTCATCCGTGTGTTGGCCCACAGTGTGGAGAAGACTTTATCCCTTCATACTGAGGAGCTCAGGAAGTCAAAATGAAGTGTTAAATGGATGGATTAAACATGAAAAACTAAAATGAGACTTTATTTGGTGTCTGGTCACATTTTCCAGAGGTGGGTGAGACTGTGAGGGACTTGGTGGACTCATACTCTCGGTATTTTTAAAATCCTGCAGACAGCGCTGTGATGAGTAAATAGACACATGATAAATTCCTAAAGGAATATCAACTATACTCATTTTTTAAACATAAGGATGCTCACCTGCACGCACACACAGATGATTACAAGTATTTGATTAGAGGCGTGATGATATTATTATAAAACATTAGTAGATCACAGGACTGTTTGCAGGGACGTAGCCGTGTATTTTAAGTGGAGCTTTTGGTGCAACTTTTACGCAAAGTTACGCGCATATGTGGCCGTTAAAAACGGATCAGGCATGTTGGATCACATTCACTTGATCATGCACACTTTTCACTCTGTCCGTTCAGTAAGTCCCAGCAGCCTCCTTCACTCAGGTTTCAGGGGTGTGGATTCATACATCAGCACCACACACACACACACACACACACACACACACACACACACACACACACACTGTGTAACTGCTGTAAGCCTCAATTACGCATTCTATCAGCGGTTAAATCCTGAAATTATTTCCGATTCAATCCGTGATCTGCGTGCGTAAAAGCAGTTGCCACTGCAGACAAAAATACCCACAAACTAATGAAACCACGGCAGACAGTCTACTCAAATAAACATCACTCTACAATTTGCCAAAATTAGCTTTTTAAAAACCCCACAGGTTCAAAAACTCTATTCCGCGGACTTTACGCGCACTTTACGCAATTTGGGTTTTCGTGGCACAAGCTTCCTAACGACAGTTATCTGGCACTTTGCACAGTTACACCCACTTTGCTTCTCAGGGCACCGCGGGGACCACAGACACTTCCATACAAACAGCTGAAAATCTTACCCATCACATCAGTATTTGGACCGTCCCATGGCGTCCCCAGCGGCACCTCCAGCTCCGGGCGCCCCGGTTTGCGGGCAGAGGACGGAGGGTCGAGTTTCAGCTGGTAGAGGTGTAACCAACCCTGTAACTGTCAGCTAACAGCAGCGTTTTACATCCACACACACATCTGACCTGTGAGAACGGGAAGCAGAGGTTTGTCTCAGTGCGTCAAAGACGAAAATGTGTCTTCACATTTCTTCTGTAATTTCAGAACCAGTGCTTCGATCCACAGCTGGAGACGTTTTTCAGCAAGACAAAAAACTTGTACTGAGTGAAGAACTGTTTCCTTTCTTGTTTCGTCTTTTAATTTGCGTGATGTTGTCTGCTTCAAGCTGTCAAATTCAATAAAATCCCAAAGTGTGAAGTATTTCCTCTCCTGGTCTTCAGGGCTTTCTTTTGGCTTTAGTCCCAACAAAACGTTAAAAGCAAACAGCTGATCCAAACGCACGCAGGGTGACCGCACGAGGACGAGTTGTCAGGAGAAAAGCTCCGGTTCGCTTATAATTAATTGGAGGATGTATGTTCTGCACACCGGATCCGGTCTCATCCTGTCTGTGTTGCAGCGCATTCATTTCCGATGCTGACCTGCCTGGATGTGACCGTGCGTCACAGCAGCGCGCTGCATAAATACCTGAAGGATGCATCCAGGTCGCTTTAAATCCGCTTCATTCAACACTTCATTGAATCAAGTGACATGTTTCTGATGGTGGTTCAGTCATCTGCATAATTCGGGCCTGCTTTCAGGGGAAAAGACAAAAATACGTTTGACTCTTTGAAAAAGAAATAGTCTCATTTTATGGACAGTTTTTGGGGGAATGAACATTTCAGCTCCACATTCTGCTCCTGAATTACTTGTTGAAATGAACAATTTTTGCATTTGGTGAAATTTAATTTCCAAGTGTTTCAGGTGTCTGTCTGTTTCATTGTTTATATACCAGCTGGTATATAAACAATAAAAACTAAAAAAACTAAAACTAAAATAAAAGCGACTGTATGTAAATGTTAAACTTCCTGTGAAAACGGAAGTGTATCTTGAAAGAAGAGAAGTTGACGCAGCGTCCCAGAACAACAACAACCAACACACCCAGGGTACTTTGCACGTCGTGTGTGGACGTGGAAGGTCCATGACCAAAACGTCAACATGTGAAGAGGTCAGAGTGAGAATGTGTTGACCATCACCACCACCTCCTGATGACAGTCAGCTCATATCTTACATCACTTTAGAGACGCTGGTATGAAGCACGGAACATATCAGTGGTTTCAGAAACATGCAATGCCAACATTTTCATCAGGCAAATGGGCTTGGAATATTTCACGTCAACTTTTCCAGACTTTTATCTGCATCCGTTGTTAAGAAGAAACCTCTGACTGGACAAACTGAATCAATAGACTGATTACTGGCCTACTGTTGTGCTGTTCACCTCCTCTCTCTGTCTCCTTTCTGTCCTCCATCACTTCACTTTGAGCAGCACCGAGAAAAGAGGAGTTTGAGGGAGGCCGAGAAAGAAAAGATTTTATTGAGTGAATTATTTAGAGGTGAAAGCAGGCTGAGATTCCACTGTATTGTACAGACAAGAGCGTGTAATATTAATGAGCGGAGACGTTAGAGGTTACTTCTCTTCTTTTTTCCTGCTGTGCTTCAGCTCCTCAGCATCCAGCCGCTCCCGCAGGAAGCTGCAAAAACAGATTTTTGGGTCAAAGCTGCAGAGCTTCACTGACATGACCGGACACTGTGACTTCTATCAGGCTTTTTCAGTTAAAGCAAGAAAACAAGAATTAGCCTCAGTCGTGGAGAAAGTCTGAGGACGTTGACTTGCGATGCTGCTAAAGATGTTTGGGTCTTGTCTGTTAGTTGTTACCTCCTGGGAAGGAGGATGGATGAATAGTTTGTCTTCTGTTTGTCTTCCATTGGGAAACACTCATGTGAATGGTTCTGGAAGTTACTGAAAAGATGTTGTGCAGATCAGAACCATTCTTAAAGTTCACTAACAGAAAGGCCGCACCGATGAGGGTCGTGGGATGAGGGAATGAGGGTTGTCGGATGTGGAATGAAGGGATGAGATTCAAAGGATGTGGGATGAAGGGATGAGATTCAAAGGATGTGGGATGAAGGGATAAGGGTCAAGGGATGAAGGGATGAAGGGATGAGGAATGAGGTTCAAGGGATGAAGGGAAAGGGGTTGAGGGGTACGGAATGGATGAGGGTCGTGGAATGGAGGGGTGAGCATTGAGGGCTGAGGAATGAGGGTCAGGGGATGAAGGGATGAAGGAAAAAGGTCTGAGGGATGTGCAATGTGGAATGTAGGGATGAGGGTCATGGGATGTGGGATGAAGGGATGAGGGTCATGGGATGGAGGAATGAGGGTAAAGCGATGAAGGGATGACGAGTGAGGGTGAAGGAATGAAGGGATGAGGGTTGAGGGATGAAGGGAAAGGGGTTGAGGGATGTGGAATGAAGGGATGAGGGCCGATGGATGTGGAATGAAGGTCAAGGGATTAAGCGACAAGGGTCAAGGGATATGGGATGAAGGGATGAAGTTCAAAGTATGTGGGATGAAGGGATGAGGGTCGAGAGATGTGGGATGAAGGGATGAGGGTCATGGGATGGAGGAATGAGGGTGAAGGGATGTAGGTATGATGAATCAGGGTGAAGGGATGAAGGGATGAGGGTCAAGGGATGAAGGGATAAAGGTCGAGGGATGAGGGGATGAGGAATGAGGGTCAAGGGATGAAGGGAAATGGGTTGAGGGATGTGGAATGAAGGGGTGAGCACTGAGGGTTGAGGAATGAGGGTTGGGGGATGAAGGGATGAAGGGAAAAAGGTTGAGGGATGTTGGATAATGGGATGAGTGTCAAGGGATTAAGAGATAAGGGTCGAGAGATGTGGGATGAAGGGATGAGGTTCAAAGTATGTGGGATGAAGGGATGAGGGTCGAGGGATGACGTGATGAGTGTTGAGGGTTGTGGAATGACAGGATGAGGGAATGAGGGTTGTCGGATGTGGAATGAAGGGGATGAGGATCAAGGGATGAAGGGATAAGGGTAGAGGGATGTGAGATGAAGGGATGATGGTTGTGGGATGATAGGATGAGGAAATGTATGGACTGGGAGCATGAAGGGAGAAGTCAGGGTTGCAGACAAGTGGGAGTTGGAGTGTGATGGCGGTCTGGTGTCGGCTGATGAGATGAGTTGATCAGATATGAGGTGAATTGAGGCTGCATCTGTCCCTGTGTTCAGATTAGTGCAGAGTGAATGTTTTATGTCAGATGTTTCCAAATATGGCCACTTCTGGCTCCAAAAAAACAAGATGGCGATGGCCAAAATACCAAACTGTAGACTTCAAGACAGCATTCCACAAACCAGTGGGTGACGTCACAGTAGCTACATCCTTGATTAACACAGTCGATCAACTCAGTTATAAATGCGTTCAGTCCCAAGTCCCTTTTAAAATGAAAGGTCTACACACATTGTTGAAATGCTTAAATGGTAAATGATAATCAGCAGCTCTTTGTTCTCCTCGTCACCCCTCCTCCTCTTCCTCCTCTCACTGCCCGTCCAATGACATCGCTCAATAAGACAAACAGGGTCTCAGTGTAAGTCATCCACTCAGCATTGATTCCCACATCAGGCCAATGGATTAGCTTACAGTGGGGACTGTCTACACCTGGCAAGGTCAGGTGACAGGTCAGCACTGATGAGGCAGAGTCTGATACAGACGATGCATTCACTGTCAGCTGGAGCGACCCATTCAACTGAACAACAGTTTTTTGTTAAATTACACTCTGCTTCTCAGAGGAAACCGAGGGAGACGCGTTGGTGAAAAATGTTGACAGTGTTTTCAGCAGCAAGCAACATTACTTCAAATAATTAAAGGAAAGCTTCTTTACAACAAGGGGATCAATATCAACACTTAGAAAATGACCCAGTACATGTGTCATCAAAAACATTAGAAAAGCAAAGACTGTAGAAATCTCAAAAACTGGTATTTTCATTCCACTTCCTTCTTTCTGTCTTGATTTCCTCTATTTCCTGCCCTCTGACGTCATATGATGAACTGATTCACATGAAGGGTTGGGGGGAGGTGATGATGACAGGTACCACTCTACCTGCCTAACAGTCTACAGTAGGGAGGCTACTGACAGTTGTAGGATTGTATAACCTCTAATCAGATTGGTTGTGATAAATAAGAGTGATTCAAGTTATTTTGATAACATCGCGTGCTAGTGTGTTCAACATGCTATGCTAGTGACATATGTCACGTAAGGGATAATCTCTCAAGGCAGATTCTGCAATTTACATTGTGGGGGGGGGTTGAGTTTAGCCAATCACAATGGAGGGGGCGTGGCCAAGACGTGCAGGTGTCCCCAGGAAATGTGTACCTACAGAAACAGCAAGCTCTGCGTCCATAGCAACTGCTCCACCCAAAACGCTGTCTCGTCAACGTGAAAAAAATATTTTTTCCAGCGGATGTCTGAGTAACAACATGATTGAGCGACCTGGAGTAGTTTCATGTCGTATCCGACAACGGGAGGCTTTTAACAGATGACGTCCTGATGTTAGCTTTGCTGCTGCTGTTAGCTGTCCCTGTCAGCTGATGCTTTCTAGACATCGTGATTTCCCAAAACTG